AAAAAAAACACAAATAAACTTGATGAAAATTTAAACAGAATTAGTGTTCAAAATCCAACATTTAAATCCAAAATGCTCCAAAATCTAAGTCTTTGAGAATCAGACACAAGTGGAAAATTGCACACCTGACCTACTGTAAGTACATGTCAAATGTCAATGACATTGAAAGTTCTGTATAAAACTACTTTCTGATCATGTGTATAAGGTGTACATTAAACATAAATATTCCAAAATCTGAAATCCAAAACAATTCTGGTTCCAATCATTTTGGATAAGGTACGGTTAACTTGTAATAGGAACCTACTATAATAATCTATTGCAATTTGGGTTTGAAAATGATGTGTTAACAGGATCTTATTTAATCAGCTATAAAAAACAGCTGAATTGTTCATCAAAAACTTGACTTCTCAAACAAAACAAAAAGTTAAACACACCAGGTAGGATGGTGCACACCTGTAATCCCAGCTAGAGGGAGAAGGGTCACAAATTTAAGGCCAACCTTGGCAACTTGGTGAGCCCTAGACTCAAAAGGTTAAAAAGCAGTACAGTGCTTGCCTAGTACGGGTTCAATTTCCAGCACTACCTCTCTGAAAAGTAAACATAAAATTATTTCCAGATGATATATATTACATCATGAAATAAGTATACTAGGGAGAAGTCACTATGGGTTTAGTTTAGCAAACCTTCTGGAGGAGATAGAAAGACAGCTGTACACTGTTAGATGTGACAGATACACCCCAAATATCATGTATTAATAAACCCTAAATAAATGACTTAAAAGTGAACTTTCCATAAGAACAATACTCAACATGATTTCAAAGACAATCTTATTTCATCAAAATAAGGTTTTTGATTTACCTTTATGTTAAGTTTTCTATTGTTTGTTGGAAGTGCTGCATCCTCTTTGAGTTGCTCAGGCAGATGTATACTCTTTGTTTTAAAGTTTGTAATGGTAGCATTTTCTAATCTGGGCTTCTTTTTACCAACTTTTAGTTTTACTTTTTGAAAGTCATCTTGGCGTTTCCGTTTTTTGGTCATTTTTGAGTTATATATGTGAGTTCTATAAAGAAAAGAGTAAATTTTAAAATAGTCAAGGATAACTGATAAAAAGGTATTTTCCAACATTTACATCATGCTAACATTTCAAATATAACCAAAAATTATGGCCAACAGCAATTATGCCAAATAATTAAAATATTAAATGAAACTATAATTAAAAAATACAAAAGAAATCACTGTTGTTATTAATAATAAGGGAACAGTCTTTTCAAGGGCTCTGCAAGGTTTTCTGAGCCACTGAACATTTTGTCAAACCATGTGTTAAGTGGAAACTTCTGAACCCTCTTTGTGGATAGCAAAGCAGCACATATTTGCTAAGAGACATAAACTGCATTGCTGAGAAGCTCCTAGTCCCTGGGAGGCCCTGAGAAAGATTTAGCAAAACAAAGCGTGAACACAAATGTTACTGTTTGAACACAGTCTATCAGTGATTAGGAAGTTTCACAAACCAAAACTGAATGCTTGAAAACAACAGGTCACATTCAGCTCTGTAGCAAAAGGTAATAATGGACATTTCATGATCAAAGAAAACAAGATCAGCAGTAGGGGACAAGCCTGATATAAGTGAAGATACTAGCATCTTGAACATTAAGTAAAGTTCAGATCAGATAAAAACAGAAAACAGTATCCTCTGAAAGAAGATAAAACCTGGCATAGGAGGAAATACAATATAACAGGATAAGGAACAAAGACTACCTACTCTGCTACAACAAACAACTCAGGCAGTCACCTTGTACTCTCCCTATCCTCCTAGCTTGCATCCAAACCTTATGACACAGAAAATCTTTCATTTGTTCCTCCCACCCATTCCCAGGCTAATAAGTTTTAAAACTCCTTTTCTTCCTAACCTAGTCTACAGCCTCCCTGTTGATATTCATGCACCACTAGACAGCTCTTTCTTAATGTCAGGCAGAGATTCAGGAGCTTTCAGTTCTGTTCATAAGCAGCTTAAATACCTCACCATGGCATACTAAATTACTTCATAAGCACTTCCAACCATTCTAGGTTTATCTTCCTACAAGCTATCATCTATCCAAAACATAACCTCCTCCACCAAGAGTTCAACTCTTCTTGAAATTTTTCCACATGCCTCAAAATAATAAATTCCACCCTCTATTGTGTACCCAATTGAGTAGAAAAGTACCACTGAAATAAAAGAACTTGTAGATGGCCTGGTGATGCACACCTGCATCCCAGCACTTAGGAGGCTGAGGTAGGAGGTCTGCTGCAAGTTTGAGACAAGCCTCAACTTCAATGAGTTCAAGACTAACTTAAACTACATGTAAGACCCTGTATCAAAAAAAATTAAAAAAGAACTTCAGATCTCTGCCTAGCTACAAAAAGTCAAAACACAGGACAATACAAAAGTTTGCAGTACTCTAAGACTAATAAAATGGCTGGTCCAACACTGGGAAGGCAGTTCCAGTTCTAGGAATTTAGAAGCCACTACATCCAAACTCATTTAACTGTTGGGTTGTACTATCTTAGTTCCCCACGAAGTAGGCCCTTGACTACACAGGTTAGTTCCAAGCTACTGGAAAGGCTGAGACAGGATAAGGTGAGCCCAAGAGTTCCAAGCCAGCCTGCACAACACAGCAAAACCCCATTTTGGAGGAAAAGGATGATTCCCAGCGCCATACTGTTTCTTATCCAACCTAGGTCACTTCTTGGCTACATTAACCACTGTGGCTGTTATTACCTAAAAGATAGTGGTAAAAAAAATTACCTACAGGGTTTTGAGATGGGTTAAAGGAATAAATGAGTTCATGTTAGTAAAATGCTCAGAAGTGTACCTGACACACTGCTAAACATGTACATATGTTAAATCACAAACACACCTGCGTTCTTAAAGTCTCATGACCAGTATACACCACACTCAGTAGTAGATGCAATGGGTACAAGCAAAGGTAACCGTAAACCACTTTCAATGATGTGGCTAAGAAAGATTTCAAATCTTATGAAGGAGTGGAGAAGAGATTATGACAAAACTCTGCAAATCTGTGTTCTGTCATACATATTAGAAGTAACTCTAGGATTAAGAATATATGGCAAAATAGTTTGCCTTATTTCATTTACCCCAACCCCAAATTTTCATTCTGCTCACAACTCTAGTTATCCTAATCCAAAGGGAGTAAAAGAATAGTAAGAAAATTCGGTCTAGAAAAAAAGCCCTGATACTCATTCGGCTTCTTTTTATACAAAAATGGCTTTCATCAATTAAGCACGGGCGATCTTTTCTTACAATTTTACCACTGGCAATTACCAGAAAAGATGGCAAATGGTTTAGACCATCAAGAAAACAGTATGACCCACTATTAATCCCCTGGGCTCTCTTCAGCCATTCCCCAACATCACACATCTAATTTATGCTACATTTTCCATCGTTTTATACCAGTTCACGCTATACTTTCCTTGTATTAAGAAAATTACGAAAACTGCCTTTCACTAACTTTTAAATTTGAAAAGGTTATATTTACGATATAGAGAGAACATTTTTATGCTAGCAACATTTAAAGTTCTATTAGCAATTGCTAATAGTTTTTTCACTTAAAACTATTCCTAGCACAACAAATCAAACCGTTCTAAAGCATTTTCACAGTAGTCGGTTTGGAAATGAAGGCAGAATGCCAGCCTCAGGGATGAAACCGTCACACCCCTGGTCCTCTTCCATATATGAGCCTCAAATAGTTTTAAACCTAATTTTACATCTTCCTTACTACAGTCTTGTCTGTTAACCTTAACATACTGGAATGTCAACAAAAAACGAATTCCAGTGTTTCCCTGCGGGTCATCTCCTTACCCTTCCACATTTGCATTTATTTCCCCCACCCAAAAAAAAAGTCAAGAAGGGCACAAACACACCACCCAAATCGCTGTTCATTTTTTTCTCCAACCCCCTGCACTCGCGAGTCCCTAAGTCCACTGACCGAGCCCAAAGGAAAGCAAATGCTCCGGTAGAGGCGAAGGCGAGCTACCGGTCCCGCTCTGCCCAGTAAGGTCAGCCTGGGAGGCGAGGGGCGGCCAGAGCACTGCTCACCCCTCGCGGTCCCGCCGTCAGATGCGAAGATCCTCGGGGCTCCGGGAACTCCTCCGGCCGTAACCGTGGTCGGGAGCTCGGGCTGCGCTACACCCGGGGCCAGAAACTCTGCCGGACCCGAAACCGCGCGAACCTGCCCGAACCCGCCCGGTCAGTAGCGCGCCTCGCACGCCGGGCGCCCCGCCCCCGCACAGGGCGGCCCGCATCCGCGCGCTCCGCACAGGCAGCGCCGTGGGGCTCCGGGGCGCTCGTCGCCACCGTCCGCCCGGCCTCCCGAGCCGCGCGCGGACGGAGGCAACGGCCCGCGCACCGCCCCCACATTGGGAGGGCCCGGCAGACGGGCGGCGGCCGCTCACCTGAGGCCCCGCCCGGAACCTGGGCGCGGAGGCCAACGCGAAGAGCGTGCGAGGGGAAGCCCACGGGGTGACAAGGTGCGCCACCGGCCTGCGCCACTGGCTCTCGGAGCGTGTTTTCAAATCGCCTGGCCCTCACGCGGCCGCGTCTCCTTCCGCCGCCCGGAAATAAGGGCCCCTCCCCCGCCGCGCTGCGCTCACGTGACCGCGGGCAGCCGCCGCGCGCAGCCAGGAGGCGGGAGCGGCAGGCCACGCCCCCTGGAGGAGGGGGCCGCGCCGGAAGCCCCCTGGTGGCTGAGCAGGGCCGGCGGGACTGCAGAGGGCTGCACTGGAGAACAAAGCATGGTCCTCAGGTACTCTCCAGAACTTTCCTCTTCTGCATCCGGGAGAATGTCGCCTGGGTTACAGCTAGTTTAGAACAGGCCTTTTCTCCCTCCTTAGACCTTGGTTGTTTGGACCAGCATACTCCAAACTTGGAGCTGCTTTCAAAGCAGAGTGTCAAAGGAGCCTATGAATTGAACTGAATTGAGGAAAATCGAAAGTTTGGAACAGCAAAGCTAGAATTTCTGTGGACTTTAACTTGAGCAGAAGTGAGGCTGATAACTTAAGGGAGGGGAAAATGCACCTAGCAACTGGAGCCTGGAAGTCTTACTATAAGATTCCTACCTAATAAAGTTATTTTCGGCCCCTGTGCCTGATGAAGTATATTTGAGCATACAGTTCCTTCCAAAATTGAGTGGCTCTAGAAAAGTTAAGGGAAAAATTAAAATTCCTAGAGAAGAGATTAAAAATGGAAGAAGTAAAAACTTCTTCCCAAACATTGGTGTGGTGGTGTGGAAGAAAGTGCTGCATGGCTCACCAGATTTAAAAAAAGGGTGTATGATAAAAAGCCTCATTAGGTAGGAAAAATGATGTCTGAATCTGGGAGACCTAAGCACTGAAACTAAGACCATGACCATTCTGTGATCAAAGACAAGGACATTGTCCCAGAAGCCCACTCCATCTTATGTTGGCAACACAACTACACCACAACCTGTCTTCAATCTAACATAAACTTTAGAGCATCATTTGTATTATATGTCATTTAAAACTGTGAAATTGAAGGGCCAGCCAAATAACTCAGCGGATTAAAGCACCTGCTTAGGCAGATGCAGCAGCCAGGGTTTGATCCTGGCATGCCATGCCAGCCCACCCACCGAGCGTGCTGAGACAGCAACTGGGTGTGGTGCTGCATGCCTGTAATCCCAACTCTTGGGAGGCTGAATACAGGTGGATCACTACGAGTCTGATCTACGTAGTGAGACCCTATAGATCCTTACTAAAATACAAAATAAATAAAACTATAAAATCAAACAAGAAGAGGAAAGGTTTATCACCAGCCAGACCTGTCCACTAAATTCCAGAATCATATGTACCAGTTTATCCAACATTTCCTTCAGGTAGCTGGTGTGACCAACAAGGCCAACATATCCAAAAAACTGAACACCTGTTATCCCCCCCTGAAATCTAATCTTACTAAACCTATTTTAACTCAAATAACAACTTCATCTTACCAATTATGCAAAACCATGAGGTTTTGTCCTTATTTTTTTGTTATTTCACACCTCATATATGCCTTACCAGGAAATTCTGCTGACTCTGTTTCCAGACATGTCTTGACTTCTGCCACTGATCATTGTTTCCCTGCTACTTTCACTTTCTGATTAGTGCAAAAGGCCTCTGAATAAATCCTCCTGCTTTGACCCTTGACCCTCTTCTCCCTATAGTGTAATATTACCAGATCAGCTATATGACTATCTTACAATGTTCACCAGATCAGGTCACCCTTGTTTAAAATCCTTCAGTGATTCTTCATTTTATTAGGAGCATTAGTTATGATATTTTACACAAATGAAACACCAAAACAAATCCCACACATGATGAAGTTTTAACACACTAGCAAGTGCTATATGCTATGTTGTCCGGTCAAGAGCAAGAGCTACACTTGGACTACAGTGTCACTCCCTTGTGTCCAGGGCAAGAAATAACTTCTGGGTCACTTTAGAGGTTTTTTTCAAGTCATAGTTTCAGTTCAACTATCAAGGAAAGTTCTAAATAATGTTATGGTTTGTGTCTAGTCGTCCCCCCCCCAAAGCCTTGTGTAGGTTATGAGGCAGACATGGCTGGAGGAGCAACTGAGTGGCTTGAGGGGTGGGGCCAGAGGACCATGGCGGGGCCAGAGAGGGGTGAACCATTAAACTGGCTAGCCTGTACTTTCTCAGAGATGTGGAGAGGGTCATCCTGGACACAGCAGTACCCCAGCCTCTCCTCCAATGTCTTGAAACCTCCAGTAATTGTGAGCTAACTAAACCTTTTCTTCTCTCATTTAGAGTGTTGGGTATTTGTCCCACCAACAAGAGAAGAGTAACTAAGACAAATACCAAGCAGATTTTTTTTCAAACTTTGGTATTTTAATATTGGACAGTTCCAGCATGGATCACTTCCATAGCCAGTGTATCACTATAACTTGAATCAAGATCATTGACCCATGCCAAAAAATACTAAGTACAATGAATATAAGTTCTAGAATGGTAAGAAAACTCCACTCCCCAAACAACTGTATTACTTTCCTGAGACTACTGAACATATAAAATTCCAAATAGGCATGACCAAAATGAAACTACATCAAAGCAAATAATAACCAAGATTCCAGAAATTCATCACAAGGACAAAATATTAAAAACTGTTAGAGAAAATAAACAGACCATCTATAAATGACAGCCCATCAATATAACAGCAGACTTCCCAACACAAGCCCTGAAGTCAAGAAGAAATTGGAGTGAAGTAATCAAGTCCTCAGAGAAAACAACTTCCAACCCAGATTGGTGTGTCCTGAAAAATTATCTTTCAACATTAATGGAGAAATGAGATACTTCCACAACAAAGAACAACAGAAGAGATTAATGAACACAAAACCAATGTTACAAGGAGTACTGAAAGGTAGACTAGACAGAAGTAAAATGACCACAATTCCAACAACAGAAATAAAGCACCAGGCAGGGTAACCAATTAAACAAAGGGGAAAAGTAGGGAACCAATAGTAGGAAAATAAGGCAAAAATAAGCCAATACATATCAGTTATAACCATCAGTGTAAATGTCCTCCATTCACCAACTAAAAGAAACAGACTTGCAGAGTGGATCAAGAAACAAAATCCAACAATATGCTGTATAAAAGACAAATTTAATGCAAAAAGAAATTTATAGACTGAAAAAGGATGGAAAACAATCTTCCATGCAACAGGAATCCAGAAAAGCAGGGGTAGCGGTGCTGTTTGCAGATAATGTAAAATTCAAATGAAGAATGATCAAAAGATAGAAGGTCACTGCATAATTGTTAGGGGAATACTTCAAGAGAAAGAGATAACAATAATAAATATATATGCACCAAATACAGAAGCATTCAGCTGTATAAGATAATTATAAATGGACCTGAAAAATCAAATAAGCAATAATACAATTGTAATGGGAGATCTTAATACCGTATTGTCACCAAGAGATCATCTAGACAAAAAATCAGCAAAGAAATAACAGAACTAAATCAAACCTGTGACCAAATGGATTTAGTAGATGTTTTCAGATTGTTCCACCCAACATCATCAAAATAAACATTCTTCTCAGCTGCACATAGAATGTTCTCTAAAATAGACCACATACTAGCCCACTGAACTTGCTTAAGTAAATACAAAGGAATTTAAATTACTTTACCCTGTGCCTATTATCTAACCATAATGCAAATAAGTTGCAAATTAATGACAAAAGAAACCACAAAAACTCCATAGACATGTGGAAATCAAATAATACCCTCGGAAAAAACCGGTGGGTCACAGATATAATAAAGGAAAAAAAATTAAGCAATATGTACAATTAAATGAGAATGCAAATATGACATAACAGAACTTATGGGATACAATGAAAGCAGTCCTAGTAGGGAAATTCATAGCGGTAAATTCTCACATTAGGAAAATATAACAAACACAAATAAACAACCTAATGTTACACCTCACGCTTCTAGAAAAAGAAGAGCAGAACAAACTGAAAGCCCATAGAAGACAGAAAATTACAAATATCCGAGCACAAATTAAAACAATGGAAAACAAGAAAACAATACAAAGAATTAATGAATCGAAGAGTTGGTTCTTTGAAAAAATAAAGTTGATAAACCCTTAGCAAACTCTATCCAGAAAAAACCCCTCAAATTCATGCATTAAAGAATGATAAGGGTAAAGTCACTACAGATCCTGTAGAAATTCAGAAGCTCATCAGACCCACTTTGAAAATCTTTACTCTCGCAGAATTGAAAACACAGATGAAATGGACAGATCCCTGGGTACATATGAATGCCCAAAACGGAATAAAAAATAAATAAAAGTTCTCAATAACCTAATATCAGTTAATTAAATTAAAATATAATAAAAAATTACCAACACAGAAAGGCCCAGGTCCTGATGGATTTACTGCTAAATTCTACAAGACATTTATGGAGGATTTAATGCCAATATTCCTTTCATTCTTTAATGAAATTGAAAAGAAATCAATATTCCCTAACTCATTTCTGGAGGTAAGTATTATCCTTATACTAAAGCCAGAGAAAGACACAACCAAACGAGAACTATGTACAAACCAATCTCCTTAATGAACATAGATGCAAAAATACTCAATAAGATAGTAGTAAACAAAATTCAGCATATCATCAAGAAGATTAAACATCACAATGAAGTGGGATACATCCCACAATACAGGGATGGCTCAACATATAGAAATTAATAAATGCAATACACCACATCATCAGCACCTGAGACAAAAATCACATAATTATTTGAATAGATGTAGAAAAAGTCTTTGATGGAGTCTAACATTCATTCGTGATAAAAGCCCTACAGAAAACTAGTATAGGTGGTCTGTACTTCAATCCAATAAAAGCCATCTATGACAGACCAATGGCCAACATTATACTAAATGGACAAAAACAAAGTTTTCACTCTAAAATCAGGAGCAAGATAAGAATGTTCATTATCATCATGCCTTTTCAACATAGTTCTGGAAACATTAGCCAGAGCAATTAGAAAAGAAAGAAATAAAAGGAATAAGGATAGGAACGGAAGAAGTTAAATTATCGATTTTCACAGATGACATAGTACTGTATACAGAAGACCCCTAAGGCCCCA